CCTGCTACGCACTCCTAGGCCCCAATCATGCAGTTTAATCGCTCAGTATAACATCCCATTGTGGTAATCTGACACTAGGTCCGTTCGCTCTTTCCCTTTTTCCATGGATGAAATTGATTTCTGAGGGAGGGGAGGGGGCGCACAAAATGAACTCTGCTTATGGTGCCCAATCCTGCAATATTAAATAGAATATTGCCGACTGAATTCGTGTTTCATTATGCACGGCCTATCGGTTGTGCCACTCGGCAGAGGTAACGCTACCCTGTGATCGTAGACGTGGTGAATGAGCCATCAAAACCCTTGCACACATTTAGGATACCAATCGCGGAAGATTATCGTCCGTGGTGCGATTTTCCATCCTCTAACCGAAAACAGCAACCATCCTACCTTCCCTTTGTGGCAATATGTTTCGTCAAAGGCTGTTCCAGGTGTCAGGTCTACGCCACTTTGTTGCACTCCTGTTGGCTAAGAGACCTTTTTCACTCTTGGGCTTTTTTTATTTGGTAAAAGTCTTATCCTCAAATTAATGCGATGCAGGATGCGCTCAGGCTCCGACCACATTGCTAGTCGGATGCGCGGATCCCAATTGCTGGCACAACATGACCGACTTGAAATTATACACCCACTTCTATGTAACTTGCGTTTCTTTCAGCGCAGTCCCCTATAAAGTGATCAATGAGCATCCAATAGAAAGAACAAAGTAACCCACTCACCATCGCTATCTTCGAACTCCCTGACTTGACATGGCGACTCTTGACTCCTTGAAATACGCCCTTAGGCAGAAGGCTATAGGAATTGACTCGAGGAGGCCACTCACAGAAAAGGAGTACAATGCTGGCTTCAGAATCTTGATGCGGGGAGAGTGGATTTCGTATCGGGAATTCATCGTTCCCCAACTATCTCGTCTACTCGCAACACTTGTCAACTCGCGTGGCCGTATTTCGGTGCTAGAGATTGGACCTGGTCCAAAAAGTGTATTGGGGTCCCTGCCCATATACCTGCGGCGCAAAATCGGGAGATACACTGCGTTTGAGCCGAATCTGTCATTTGCCACGGGCGTGGAAGAATGGCTTTCCTCTGCTTCGGAGACAGAGCCTCCACTGCCCGGATTGGAATGCCCACCTGAGATTCATCGAATACCGTTCATCCTAAACGGCGACCGAAGCAGTGACTCGAGCATGCGTGAAAGTGACAATGTTAAAAAGTTCGACATCGTTCTTTTCTGCCACAGCATGTACGGCATGAAACCAAGAGCCAAGTTTATCGAACAGGCCATAGAAATGGTTAAGGAACAGCCAGAAGGCGGAATGGTGGTTGTTTTTCATCGTGACGGGGCATTCCGGCTTGACGGACTAGTGTGCCATCGGACGGCCTCTTTTCCAACCGGAGCTGTTTGTGTGGCAGATGAGAATGACGAACTGAATCAATTCGCTTCCTTCATCACGGGATTCCTCCCGGCGGATGTGGAGGCGGGCAAGGGGCTTCAGGCCGAATGGCGGAAGATGTGCCGCGCCGTGGGAAGCCGGCAAGAAGCCCACCCAGACCAGCTTTGTTTCAGCTCGCCAGCCATCATGTCAGCGTTCACCACAAATGCAGCTGCATTATCGGAGCTTGTGATGCAAGTGCCGTTGTCAAATGGGGAAAAGGTCAAGAACCGGGAGGCTCGTCTCCGCCATCCTGCATCCATTGTACGGCCAACAGAAGTTCGACAAGTCCAGCTATGCGTCCAATGGGCTTTGAAGCATAGGCTGAGTCTAACCATTGTTGGCGGGAGTCACAGCGACCACTGCTTATGGTCCAACGTCGTTGGGGTGGACATGAGCGCCTTTGATCAAATCCATATTCTCACCACCGGGAGCGATGAGAAAGGACACAACCCCAGTTCCAATAGCCTGGTCGTTGCCGGAGCTGGCTGCAAGACGGAGGGCATCATCCGCAAAACAATGGCAGTGGGTCTGACAGTCCCCTTGGGGGCCCGCCCAAGTGTAGGCGCTGGGCTGTGGCTTCAAGGTGGCATCGGACATCTGGCTAGGCTTTATGGGCTCGCTTGTGACGCCATTGTGGGTGCTGTGGTGCTCAGCGTTGAATCTGGCCAAGTTATGTGCGTCGGCCAAGTACCAAAGCAACATCGGCCGGACGGTGCTGTGGTTCAAGAAAACGACACTGATATGTTGTGGGCGATCAAAGGCGCAGGGACGAACTTTGGCATCGTAGTCAGCATTACTTTCAAGACAGTCGTGGCCCCAACCTACTCAATTCGAAATTGGGTTGTTCCACTGAGTGATAACCACGAAGCAAGGCTCAAGCTTTACAACTTTGACAGCTTGGTCGCCAAGAATCTACCCCGAGGATATTCTGCAGACGCATATCTATATTGGGACGTTGATCAGCTACATCTTGGCATCACCATGTTCGAAACTTCTACAACTGAAATCACCACCGAGGAGCCCATAACCACAGCTGTACGCGAGATCTTCGGACCGGAAGACGATTATAGTACCATGGATAGTGTCGGTCTGTTCGACGCCGAAATGTACATCTCCAGAATGCACGGAGGACACGGTGGAAGCAAGACGTCCTCGTTCAAGCGATGTCTATTCTTGAAAGATATCGGGGCGCGGATTATCGCTGAATTATTGATTGCGGCCATAGAGGCTCGCCCCACGCCACTCTGCTACCTTCATTTATTGCAGGGTGGCGGGGCAATCCAGGATGTGACAGCCGATGCCACTGCTTTTGGTTGCCGGGACTGGGACTTTGCCTGCGTGATAACTGGAGTATGGCCTCGTGATCAAGATGGAACCGAGCTTGCACGAGTTGCCAAAGAATGGGTGTACGACGTGGCCAAAAATCTGTTGCCTTTAAGCAGTGGCGCTTACAGCGCAGACCTCGGGCCAGACCCTAGAGATACAGAACTGGCAGCTAAGGCTTTTGGACCGAATCGATCACGTCTACGCCGTCTCAAACAAATATCGGACCCGCTCAATGTGCTGGCTCACACCTCTTCACTGCTGAACGTAACGGCGGGCCAGAAGCTCATCGTCCTAGTCACAGGTGACATCTGTGCCGGTAAGGACTATTGCGCTGACATTTGGGTGTCCGTGATTACCTCATGCGCCCACAAAAGCCTCACGGCGCGCTCAGTGAGCATAAGCGATGTTACTAAGCGAGAATATGCGGTGGCCACCGGGGCAGACGCGATTCGCCTGCGTCAGGATCGTGCTTACAAAGAGCAACACCGCTCAGCGTTGACACAGTTTTTCCAGAACCAGGTGCAACATCGACCTTGCCTGCCAGAGGAGCATTTTTTGGATCTGTTGAAAAATGCAGCGGATGTGAACGTGCTGTTTATCACGGGGATGAGAGACGAGGCGCCGGTTGCAACCTTCTCCCATTTGGTTCCAGACAGCAGACTAGTCGAGGTTCGCGTCAGAGCCAGCGAGGAGATGCGGTACAATCTTCGAGGGTACCGTGCTGATGGTCACTCTCATGTACATGATGAACCCAATCCTCATGCCAGGTCCAAGCTGGCGGCATTTGACCACTGTCCCAGCCTCGTCTTCGACAATGACAAGACCGGGAGCGATGCAGCAAAGGAGTTTGCCGAAAAGCACCTTCTTGCTTTCTACGCCGACGACTTCCGGCTACTCATCGACATGGTGCGTCCGGTGCCTGACTTTCCACGTCCGGGCATCAGTCTCCATCACGTGCTCAATATCCCCCAACAACCGGGTGGGTTGACTTTGTGCACATCTCTACTGCAAAATCAATTCAGCGGAGACTGGGCTCAAATCAACAAGATAGCTTGCTGCGAGGCCGGTGGATTTGTTTTCGCCTCGTCGTTGGCATCGCGAGTCAATATACCCCTGGCGTTGATTCGCGAAGCCGGCAAGCTTCCCCCACCTACCATTTCCGTCCCCAGATTCAAATCCCATATCTCGAGATTCAATCCTTCCAAGGCTAGCAGGATCGAGATAGAATCATTTTTGATACCTCAAAACTCTTCAATTTTGGTAGTAGACGACGTGCTCGCCACCGGACAGACGCTTTGTGCGGTGTTATGCCTCTTAGAGAGTGCTGGCGTCCGCACCCAGAACGTTAGCATCATGGTTGTGGTCGAGCTCCCTGTTCACCGTGGACGAGAGTTGCTGCGTCAATCTGGATTCGGCGGCGTCAATATTCAAAGCCTTTTGGTTCTCGATGGTGCCTAAGTAAGAAGCAGAGGTGAAGTGTGGGCAGAAACTGACTACTATCATCAAGTGCGTCATTTCTCATACCGAGCTACTTCAGTTTGTCTAAATCGCGTCCAGGTTCAATTCGGACTCAAATTTCAAATACTCGATTCTAGTATCTGTCCGAGGGAGATTTTATCGCTACATTGTCGGTATTTTTCTTATTGAACCTTTCATTGCATTGGCTCTTGTGCATATCAATTACATGTCAGCAGAAACGCTCTTCAGTGTAATCATCTTTTCTACATGTTTTGTACACTTACATATTCACAACCAATTTGATCGTTGAAGAGAGTGTATGAAGATTGTCTGGTTTACTTCGGGTCCGGAATCCGCATCCTACCCACCCCAAGCTGATTGGTATCCAATCACGTGATTGAATCCCCAACTTTGCCAAGCATCAGCTTCCCTTTTCGAAATGGAAGAACAAAAACATCAATACATGAATGGCATCGTGGATCAGGGAGTTGATCAAGATTACCCTGGAGAAAATAGCCTCAAAGCTCGAAAGTTATTCGATTTGTACTAATGCAAGGCGCATTTCCGTATAGATCTAGTACCAGGCTTATGATTCTTGAGATCAACCTCGTGCACTTAGTTTTCCTCTTCCACTAAAAAGCTGAGTGGCTCACATAGTCCTAGGCAAGTATATATACCTATGATGAGGAGCATGGCCGCACTATCACCACTGCCACAGGAGAGTCTTCTCTGCAGGTATATATAATGCATCGTCAACAGCTTTTAGCGCCATAGGCCTCAGACCAGACTTTATACCACATCACGGCGGTAGTACACCACCCAAGATAGAGGGGTTCTTCCATGCTGATCTTTAAAATTCAGGTCAACACCAATATCAAGCAAAAGCTTCACTGTGGTTGCACGGCCATCCAGCACCGCCCACAACAACGGAGTCTGGCCTTGCTCATCTTTGCGATCTGGATCAACTCCATGATCCAGCAAGAGTCTGATCACTATCTCAGGACCAGGTGATGCTGCCCATGACAGAGTGGTCCTACCATCATGGTCTTTAGGATCTGGGTCAGCGCACACTTCTAGCAGGAGCTTGACCATTGTCTCATGACCAGATGATACTGCTCGTAATAAAGGTGTTTGTCTATCCTCATCTTTAAAATCTGGGCCAGCACCCTCTTGTAAAAGGAATTTGACTACAGCCTCACAGCCATTCGATGCTACACACGATAGAGAGGTTCGGCCTTGATTATCGGATAAGTCCAGGTCAACGCCCCCTTTCTAGGAGGAGCTTAACCACTGTCTCATGGCCTTTCAGTGCCGCGCATGGAGTTCGACCATCCTCCCTTGATAATTTGGATCAGCGCCTGCCCCCAACAGAAGCTTAAGCATCGTCTCACGACCAGTCAGTGCCGCCTCATGAGAGAGGGGCTCGATCATGCTCATCCACAGATTCAGGATCAGCACCCCCCTTCCAACAAAAGCCTGACCACTGCCTCACGGCTATTGGACTCCTCTCGTGACAGAAGAGTAAGACCGTGCTCATCCCTGGAGAACGCTGCCCACGATAGAGGAGTTCGACCGTGCATATCCTTGCAGTCTATATCAATGCCCGCGTTCAATAGGGCTTTCACCACTGTCTCAAGGTCATTGGCTGCAGCACATATAGTGGGGTTCTTCCAAATAAGTCTCTCACATCACTTTGATTGCCCTGCTCAATGTATTGCTCAACAGTTTCCTTTAATCTCAAAATGAGATTTGCCAAGCTCTACAGCAAGAGCTGTCTGAAGCTCGATTGTGGTGAGCTCTCTCTTTGCACAGGTGATCTATGATAATACCTGTCTGGCCATTTCTTTTTGATCCGTGACCTACACTTCAATTCGCTGCATAACATCACTGTATGCCGGGTCACATGTCTAAGATCCGGTAGACATTTCACCCAGGGTATACCGTATCGTTTTGGGTGACCTGAAGGTAAAGGCTTTAAGAAAGAATCATAAAATATGGCCAATTCTGAGCGCCAGCACCATGCCTTAGCAAACCCAGATTATAGATTCCAACCACAGCCGTGACAACCGTCATGTTTGGGAAAGCCTACAGCACAATTACGATCCAAAAAGTTTTCTGAGAACTACGGTAAATGGTCTCACAACGATGGGTCTGATAAAACCACCTCAATCCCCATCGATATCCCGTCCTGGTGGTATAATGCTGGAGGTATACTTGATGATCCCCCAAGGGCGTTTGTGAGCGAGCCTGAAGCACGATTAAAATCTGACGGTGTCTTGAGCACAGCGGTGAATGGCCTCTTACCGACGGGCCTGAAATAACCACCCCAAGTCCTGTCAACAACTCTTCTCGGAGGAATACTGCTGGAGGTATACAAGATGACAATTTTGCTGCTTCTGGAGGATTCTTTGAAACATACAGTTGTAATGGCTTGCCTGGAGTGCCTTGGCCTGGAAATTGCGACTTGATGTCCCTGGATTCTATGGAGCGACATTCCCTCCCATTTTATTTATCTAATAATAACACCTGGTGTCACGAGTGGTAAGGAAGAGTAAAGCCTAACATTTCAAACTACGAGGTGCCTTAGCTTCCGAAGAACGGGGTGACAATGGCCTTGTATAAACAGCTAAAATTCTAATCAACGCCAAGATACCATTTCTTCCATATGTATTTCTATTTTTTTTTTCCGAAAAACAATATCTACGTAAGAGTATGAAGTTCTGTTTTGAAAAGCGATGATCAAGTGATATCTACTTAAGTAGGTATAAATCCAAGATTGACTCCACATGCTCAATGATATGAAGTTTTGGACCCGGGACCTTGGGACTTGCTTCCGTCTACTCTAGATTGTGGGTTGAAAATTCTTGAACAAAAGCCCCAGGGTGTGCGAATCATACCTATCTCAGCTTATGGATTCTTATCTGGTGATCTAGCTCTGGACCAATCAACCCAAGCACCTTTGATGTGATCAAATAAGGTAAAGCCATGGAAGCTTGTGAGTCAAGAACAGAAATTCCAGGGGCTCCTTTGCTACTACGTAAACATAGGAGCGAAAAAGGCACCCAACGACGTCTCGAACAGTCCCAATGAGAGATTCGTTCCCCTTGTATTGGCTGTGAGATTCCTGAAAGGTCGCAAATTTGCGTAATGAGCTCGCATTTACACTTCAGCAAATTGAAAATGATGATATACTGAGGACAATATTTCTGCAGTGAGCGGGCCGAGGATCGAATGCACTCGTTTCTCTACGACTGGTTTCCATCCCTGGCATCTCGCATCAACCAAAGGTGTTTGTCGCGCCGTGACTTACAATTTCAATTGCAGCCTGTACAAAGGGATCTGCGGGTGTATTTTCAAATATGTACTACATGCTGTCATTTAGAAGGGAAACAAGACAAAGTGTCCATATACCTAGGTCAAATTTCTCAAAAGCCTGAGTTCCATCCTGTCGGTTTTGATAGATTTTTTTCAAATCGTCCGCCCACGAAAATGATTTTCCCAAAGAAAATTCTGAATGTCTTGCGATGGAAGACCAGAGACCCCCGGAACAAGCTCTTGGAAATGTAGATTTACGAGAACTTCGTTCTGCAAGATTGGCAGCTCTGCTTTGAAGCCCCTTAGTAAGTGACTGACCTAAGCTCCAATCATAGTACTGAGACAAGCGAAAATTTGGGCTATCGCCGATATTTTTTTTCATTTCCCAGGCCTTTCGAGTCTCGATATAGTTCGTTTCCGAAGGAAAGCTCCGTAACTTGTGCATTTAACTCACTAGAAAACTAAGTGATCAAGTTGTAGATCAAAGCTAAAAGTAAGATTTCGTTAACATGAAGTCAATGTCGAAAACATTGGAAGGTATTCATAGGAAACAAAGCTGTTAGGAGGAAAGCATACGTTTCATATTAACAGGCTCACCGTTTGAAGGTCCGGCTAGCTCACGGCAAGAACCCAAACACCGCTTGCATCATTAATTGTACATTTATCAATGATTAGGTAAATTCATTCATGGGGAGGCTAATACTTTGGCAGATGATACCTGGCCAGGCTGCGCGGGCTACCACTTGGGAAATCATCTGCAATTGACACGAGTATTCCATGTCCTGTAAGGAGTACTATGTATTAGATGCCGGTCTGGACTTGTACGCAACAATAGGCTTTTTTTTTGTCCCATACGAAAATGGATACCTTATTGGCACTGCTTTTTTTCACAAAGGAATTCTTAAATACAAATAAATTATTCCGTCTTCCATACTTCGCAAGTGATAGAGCCTGCCACAGTGCCTTGTGAGGATAGCTCAGGTGTACTCAGTTAACTCACTCAGCGCCGTTTCCGACAAAGTAACTCCCAAAGAGACCATTTACATATCCCTAACCCCAAAGCTATTCGGTTTTTTAGGAATAATGAGAGATGAGAGTACGGAGCACTGGGGGCATCAAAATTCGCGTCTGCCATCAATATCTGGGTAATCAGATCACATAACTCCAGAGCTTTCCCGTGGACTTTCTCGTGGACTGGCCCGGGTTTTTTGACTTCTTCCTGACTAAGCGGGACCGGCCCCATGGACCGAATGAAGGACGTGCGTCTGACAACGATCTGGACCATTGACATCACCGTTAGAGGATAGATTGTAATTGTGTTTTCAACCACTTGGCAGATTCAAACTTCTCATCCAAGTTTGGTTCATCAAAGCCACAGATTTGAACCGACTTGATTCCACTCATAGAAGAACCAAGTTGGAGGATTCTCAAATCGAATTTGGGGTCTGAAGTCGGCACATTAAACAGTTCATCCTCGAAGTTAAGTCGTAAATGTTTGATTCGACGGAACTGTTTCAGTAATTGAATACATATTGCCGTCTGAAACTTGGGCTCCCCCTCACTCGTGTGGTATTCCGAGCCACTACTACTGAACCATGATAGCTCTAACGATTCGACGTTGTTGCGGCCAATGGTACCGATCCAAAGCGCAAATTTGATAAAATCATCAACATCTGACCAGCGAAAAGAGATGTTTTGGTATACCAAGGGGAGCGCCTCGTGACGTATTTGCTTGTCAGCGTGGAGAGTATTGATAGATTGGCTGAATGGAAAGTAGAATCCACTCAAATCTCCAATAGAGGCAGGAAAAATTTTCTCAAGATAGACAGATGGATCTAGTGCTTTCCATAGACGTTCAGGGATAGCATGATCATAGATCATGTTCCGAAGTTCCCGCGGGAGCCGTAGACATGGACTATGTTCTACCTTCAAGCAATTGATTTGAAACTTCATTTTCTCAGTAAATAAAAAAGCATGTTCCAGAAAACGCATAAAGGGATCGGATACCTTGGACAACATTTGAACTTCAAGCGCCTCAGTGCTGGTCAATGCGAAGAGAAGATTCAGTCCAAAAGAAAACGTGAGATGTAACGAGTATTGAACATATCCAACGCCCCTCTCATGTTTCAAGACGAGGCTCTGTTCATCACCAACAAATGTCTTCTGGGGTTAGACAATTCATGCATGGAAAATATTTCAAAGTGGACGTAGATGAGTTACATACATGACTCCGGCCAAGCTTTGGAAGTGAGCTTTCTAAATTCCTTAATGGCCCGAGCCCTTGCTGTCTAGCCTTTCGGTGCTCGTGTAGCTCTTTTTCTGTTATGTGGTATATGTCGTTCCAGGCGGGTGATAGATCTGAGTAGAAATAAGGTGCCCTATGGTCATTTTGGGGCAATTGCTCTGGTTCAAAGCCCAGTTCCTTTTGTAGATTGCGAAGCAAGGGACGTTCTATCTGCTTTGCCATAACGATAGCTGGATACAAGCAAGAAATGTGTCATCGGAAGACAAAAGTGCAGTGGAGTTGCGATTCCGGATTATCAATTTACCGCGTCATCGCTACGAGGACAACTATTCTTGACTTCGGTCCTCTTTAGTGACCTTTGAGGAATCACTTCAAATTATGCTATCATCTACAAACTTACGTAGAAGCATTGAAGAGTATTCAATGATACTGCATGCCTCCGAAAGCCCTTGCATTACCTCGGTAGGAAATTAAAAGCGATATCGAAGATGGCACCGGTAGCCCCCATCCCGGTGATATGGAACGCCCTATGTGATGAAACAGCCGTGAGGTACCTGCACTGTCGCGCATCCTTATTCTCTGACCAGATACTAATTGTCATCTGAGAAAAGTGAATACATCAATTAGGTCACCTTTCGTATCACTGCTCTTGAGCATATTAAAAATACGTTGTCACGATGCTAAAAAAACGACTTCATATACCACCAGGAGATCTGCTGTCGACTACTGAGACACCAAGATCACCCACCAAGGCGTCAGAGATCAGTAAAAGGACAATCTTGTAATATTTGGCCCTTTCAGTCGCCGTCATTATCTTTTCATGCCATCACAATAAAGAAAGATACGGGAATGTTGAGTTGGGCGAAATTCTTGGCGGCCGAAAGAAAGGTACAAAGATCACAAATTTCTGACGTTGAATACAGGCAGAATAACGATAATGTGATGTGGTGTATTAAATAAACAACAGCCGCCTAATATAATAGCCGCCCCACAGCCCGTCTGTAACTATTACGGAAGGTTGCCGTTCTAAGCTCGGACCGACCATCAGGTGACGACCACGGCCGTCCGGGAGAAAGAACAGTGCGTGGTAACACAAGGCCGGGCTGAGATTGTTAATTACTTCTTATCTTGGCCAACTATGGGCCATAAAACGCTCAGTTGGGATCCCCAGGCGCGAACGCGAAGATCAAGACACGTCCAGACTGGCAGCCAAGCACCACGGCTAATCCATATCGTCCAACAGCAGTATACATTGGGCGTTATGATGGAGGCAGCCATAGCCAATTCTGTAAACTCCGTGTGATCCAGAACCCATCAGAACTGATACCAAAACCTTGATATTCAGGACTTTGCGACGACTGGTTTGGCCTTAGCAATTGGAGTTTTGAAGCGGCGTCTGCAGTCGCAGTCATAGCGGTAGTCGTCGGCGAGTCACGAAGGGCGAGAATTCAATACCAGTGTGAAGAAAAGAACCGGTGGGGTCGAAAGACAAATTGACGGTAGAGCTGAGGCTGAGGGTTTGTAGACAGGCGCCGGCGTGCGCATCCCAGATCTTGATCGTCTTCAGGGTTTTGGCGTCCGTACACAGGATGTTCTCGTCATAGTTGTGGCCGAGTCTCTTGTTCAGAGTGGAAGAAAACTGTTGTGCCGATGTGGATTTGGCGCCATCAATATTCAAAGCTTTTTGGTTTTCGGTGGCGCCGAAGTAAGAAGCAGAAGTATTGGGTGTCTCGGCGTTCTGCTCCAATTGACAAACTTGAGTTTTTTTTTAATCAGGGCTTTTAAAATGATTTTTTTCTCTAAGGGTTCAGTAATATAATGATGGGATGCCCGAAGTTTAATACCTTTTTTTCAGGAATGGTGTTCAAAGATACCTCCCTCCTTCTTTGCCCTTAACTCAAGGGGGTATTTTTCATTTTGGGTCATTTGGGGCAATATTTTACTCTAGCAAGAGCGTCTGGACCCTACAGGGGGAGTTAGACTCAGCTCACAGACTAGTCTACAAATATTTTGGCAGCAGGGTTTTCCTTTCACATACAGTACTTGATGCGGTCTCGGTATCTCGTGAAGATGTATCCCACCAAAAGCAGAGCAAAGTAGTTTGGAATAGCGTAGGTACCATGTCCCGACGCGAACATCAATAGAATAATTTACTTATTCGGCAAAGCAAGATCTGACAGTCAGTATCAATATTCTACTACGGTACAGTAGCATTGAATTATATTGCAAGGCTTTTTTTACAGGTCCGCCCGACATTAGTTTCACCATGTTATTCTCTTTGGTTCTTTCTCAAGTCTTGGCCAGACCCATCTCGACCTACATCTGGACTAGTCCATCGATTACTGTCGAATAGGAAAAAGGGTAATGAAAGCCCAGTAGTTACATTAGGCCTAGTGTTAATAAAAATAGATGTTGAGAAGCATTCAAAGAGAACAGGTTGGTGAAACTAATTTCGAGCGCGTCTGTACGCTCGATTGATTTCCTAAAACATGAGGTCCACCGAGCCTAGTATTCGGCAGATTATCTCTGTACTAAGAAGAGGGTGTCTACGCCCAGGCTCTACCACCATTTTAAATACCTTCCGCCCCATCTACTTTGAAAAGCCTTGTAGTCTGCCTGTGTTGCCATAAAATACTCAGTTTGTCGACATGGAAGCCAGCCATTGCCTTTCGAAGCCCCGAAGCGCATTACAATATAAGCCTGTCCACACCAGCGGCTCTGTTGACCCCAAATATCATTTATGCGGAAGTATAATCCTGCTTTATTTTATCTACCATGTGTCTCTGTTCCGTTCAAGCAATGCGAATAGAGCTTTGGTTTCTCTCTTAGCCAAGCTCTTTTGTTTTGGAACTTCTACGACTTGCCACTACATGCTTGACTCGGCAAAGCAGCTCCCTTCTTTCTACATTCTGCTGGACCATATTGAAATTATTCTACACATATGGGGAACATCTGTATCGGTCTTGCTTTTAGAGACTACTGGTAGCGGGAACATCAATTACATTGTGTTGGGAGTCACACTCGGCGGCGTGCTTTGTGCCACTTATTTGATAACCTGGCCAAGAGAAAAGAATGAACGAGTGCTGGTTGCAGGAGGATTTGGAGGATTGGCTTCATGCAGCGTCTCGATCTACAACGCTATTTTTTCGAGTATATCTCGACTGACGGCATCCTACATTTTTATGGGTTTGGTTAACGGCATCGGGGGATGGTTATACTCCCGTGGGTCTAAGCAAGTCCTGAGCCAACGTTCACCCAAATCTTTTACTGTGTCGGGGCATTTGTTGATGCACCTATGTTCCCTGATTTCATCCGTATTTCACGCCACAATTCTGGTTTCTTCTGTTTGTATTTGTCAGACTTGAGCGCCTGGTCACATGAGACTTCAATCTGATATATTTCTATGAGAGGTTTTGTCATGTGTGTTGGATTTTGTCAGGATAGAGGTATGGCGTGAGTGAGGTGTGCAATGACGGATTTTCGCATTTCTGCATTTTCTTATCTTTCCTTTTTCCCCTTAGATTTATTTTGGCTCATTCAGTAAAGAAGAGTCCGATTATTACGCCTAGACTATAGAGAAGAGATAAAATTAGACGTATATGACTTACATATTAATTCCATGCGGTTTCGAAAAGATTGTATGGATTGATAAGAGATCTTGTGTGCAAGTCGATGCACAGCACCATCGGAGGATGGAGCATGACAAGATAAATCAGATTACACGCCAGACTAGCTGGATGACTGAAAGATAATCGTTCGTCTAGAAATAAATTGACCAGGTCAAGTACAGTGCCCCATAAACCTTTGAGGCTAGTTATGTACTCAATTTAGGCGCTCTTACACACCGAGTATAACCTTTACGGTTGCAATGACATACGATCTGCTATTTAGCATGATCAGAAACATGAGGCCCCCAACGCCAAATTGAGGGTGGTGAGTTGTGATAATTTTGCTGTGCAAATTTATGACCGCCCGTCTTTCACAGTTCCACAACCCCTACCTTCTCTGATCATGAGCATTGGTGAATGCGTCCAAAACACGAGACAATAAACCTGCACTTGTTCAGTGTCTCGTCTACCAATGGCAGATTTGACTTCATCATGCCACCTAGAGACACTAAAGGCTGGTGTGCATGTGCAAGGCTTAGAAACAGTTCTTCACTCACCCTTACTTCCCTCTCTTTCCTGTCATCTTATGCCGGACATAGACAACACGGTACACCACCGACATCCATTTTAGTAATACATGCAGCCCGGTCACATTACCGATCGGCAGATCCCGGTCAAGTGATGCTGTATGGAGCAACTTTCTCAAATAGTTTTATATACTGTCACTTCAGTAGCTCACGATCTTCTTCAAAGCACGAATGAAACTAGATACACCAAGTTATTAAGTCAGTCATGACTACATCAACAATGATTAATCCCAGAATTCACCAGAAAAGAGAGAGCTGCTACGAAGAAAGCTGCTGATTGGGGATCTTGATATGCAGACCTATTTTGGAGATGTCCAGAAGTTCTGACATTAAATATCTGCTAATTGGAAATCAACTCCTAAGGTTTCCTCAAAAAATGTTAGTTCTAGATTGTCGTGATACATACGTATAAATTGTCATATTAACAAGTATTCGGATTCGTAGGCTCCGGGTCTATAGACTCCCAGGCTTTTCCCATGTGAACGTACTATATGGTAGGTATCTTTATATAGCTGGTTGGGAATATGCTGTGCATCCTTTGGATACTTGCAGCATTTGGAAGCTTTTTTGTCTCGCAATAAAAGAACAGTGTATATAGTTGTGATTCGCTATAAACTTGGAACATGAGTGTTAATATTGATTTAATCTCGGAATCATCTCGTGTCATATCCCCAAGGCATTCACATAATATATATCTCTAGTTGGTAAAATGTCTTGATGTACATATTCCAAACCAAATGAAATCTGCTATCTGCTGCAAGAGCTGAACCAAAGAAATATATTTTCCAGGTTCGAAAATGAGTCCTCTTTGGTGCTGGCGATACTAGTGGCCCGGACTACTCTAGGTACTACTAATAGGGCATGCAGCCCCTGCAACGATAAGAAAGTCAAATATACTCTAAGTACTTCAAAGAGGTACAGTATCTTTGTCTATAGTGTTCCCAAGAAGCAGACATAAATCGCAGAGCAAACACGAATTGCACACCCAAACTCGGAAGAAGAAAAAGAAGAGATCATAAGATCGAACTAGATATAGGTCCCATTATGTACCAAAGGTATACAGAATGATTCCTGATCACTAAAGACTAGTCGTCTACTAGTAATCCAGAATTGAGAAACAATCTAAGAGTGAATGAAGGTGGAGATATTAATATTAGGGCAGACTGTATAACTTTCCACTTCTATTTTCATCAAGAAGAATGACTCTAAGTTTCATCATCGTGGAAATTATTCCATTTTCAATCATATAGGATTCCATATTTCGCCCCTAAAGAAATTCCAAAACAAGAATTGTTGGATACTATACAGCATTCGGCTTGGTATGTACCTATAAGTAGAGCCTAATTCCTACTCATAGATGAAGATTCACTAATCAAGACATTGAGTGCTGTTTCTTGTGATAGCTTCAGTCATGGATTTTGCTGAAACCCCGAGGCAAAGCTTCTTCATTGCTTTAAAGCAAGGAGATCATGACGCTCGCGATTTCCTTCAGGCTTATGAACAAGATGCCGCTTTCATTGTGAATGCAATGATTATCAAAGAAGAAGGGACCACAGCCATTCACTATGCCACCTCGAAGGGATATAATCTCCTAGTCGACTTTGTACTAGCTCGTGCTGGATTCTGGTCTTCCTTTCTTCTCAATTTCCGCGATGATGGCGGTAATACTCCTTTAATGTCTGCTGTTCTATCTTCCAAGACCAGTACAGCAGAACTTTTACTCGAATACGGAGCTGACAGCACCATATGTAACATTTTCAATGAAACACCGCTATGGAAGGCCATCGAGCTACAAGATTACAGGATGGTAAGACTGCTGGCTGAAGTTACCAATGATTTTCAGTGGAGCGAGCGGTATCTTAGCAATAAATCGGTACTGCGCTGGGCTGTTGAAAATTTGCACAGTCAACCGAGAAGATTGATGTGTGAGCAATTCGAAGAGCTTTTCAGGGAATGCCAGAATTCAAGTCAAGTTATAGAAGGGATGCACAAACAATTTTCTGAAGTCGAAATGACCAGAGATGACGGTAGGGAGATATTGATTCTAGTGTTGCAACGATATCTATCACTCGGTGATGTCGACAATGAATATATGGGATGTATTGGACTGGCATGTGCGAATGGAGATATGGATACACTCGAGGCGATGTTGAAGGCAGAGACACCACTTGATCAACAAGTCGAATATTAAACTTCCATCAGCTCTGCCCGAGTGTGTCATTAATCTTTGCGACATAGTATTCAACAAACACAATGCCCTGGGAAAGATACCAAGTTAATTCTCAGGTACATAGAAGAGTGTCGTATCATAGTGCAGTCGTGTTCAAAGTCTGCTTCAACTTCATTTCTTGTCCTAGTAGGCGAACTAAGGGACATCGAAATCTCTTTTTTCTTTGCAAATTTAGTTGTCCAGAATCTGTCGTTGTGGGGCCCTGCCTTCAATGAGGGACCTAATGGAGTGCTGGAAAACCCGACATCTTTTTTTCAGGAATAGTGTATGTATACGAATCGCACAAGATCCGGCTCTCTGGTGCCTAAAGAAGTGACCTGGCCCCTGTTCTGCCAGTTCCTTGCCCGCTTCAACGATATCATGGATAACGAAGTTTCGGGACGATATCATTACGGAGAGATCCGATTGACCCGACTGAACTATTACGCGCCCATTCTGTTGGGAAGAAGCCATTATCAGCGTGTGAATCATCAATATCGAGCGTACTTTGCTCGAATTCAAGGCCCCGTGATGTCTGCATTTGCATTTTTCTCGATCCTCCTGAACTGTATGCAGGTCAGCCTCGCGGCCTCTGATTTTGATGAGAGATATTCGAGTGCCCTGTTATTTGCATGTTGCTACTGTCTCAGTACCCTGATTGGATGTGTGACCGGCGTCCTATCACTGATGTTGGTATTTTTTTTCCTCTTCAAAGTGATCAGGGAATGGAGGTTTTGATAGAGAATACGTCTACAGGAAGAAGAATGATGATGTAGATGATATTCTCTCATCAAAAAAGGACGGGGAAAAGGAAAGGAGAGAGAGAGGAGAAGAAGCCTCTATCTACTCTATCAAACAAGCTCTGTCATCCCAAACAGGGTCTGCTGATCAAGCAGACCTGACACAATGCTCTACAGGCCGCTGCATTCGATAAAAGCCCCGAGACAGTCCAGACACTGCTTGGAGCTGGCGCCGATGTCAACGCTCAGGGTGGTATATATGGGTTACCTCTCCTGGCAGCTATTCATGAGGGCTATGTTGATCACGTTCGAATTCTTCTTCAGGCTGGAGCAGATTCACTGCTTGCAGATGAACTCGGCCACACTCCCCTTCACATTGCAGCTTCAAAAAATAAGCTGCATATCCTCCGTCGGTTCCCACAACTGCTGTCAGCCCTCAACAACCGTAGTGGTTTCTTGCAAACTCCTCTCCACCTTGCGGTTTGCCTAGGTCACATTGAATTTGCTATTGGGCTTCTTAATTCTGGTGCCGATCTTTCCCTCCCAGATGGTTATGGGAAACATGTTATGGACTGGGCGTCCGGTCATCAAGCTCTACTGCAGGAAATACACAATTACTGCCCTCCCCTTGTGCTTACGCCTCCTGATACTCAAGAGCGATCTGTTCATCGGTCCCTCTACGAACTTATCGATTCCCATCCATATTCCAAATCCAAGTCTTTATGGCCCATTCTGCAACAATTAGGCCGCTTTTTCTTGTTTCTTGGCCAATTCGACAACGCGCGCTATCTCTTTCAGCTCCATCTGTGTCGGGATGATTCCTCCAAAACGGATATCTGGCAGATCTCCTGCAACATGTGCAACCAGATTATCACCGGAACACGCTTTATATGCCGACTGTGCGCGTGTATGGATCTTGGTTCCTCCTGCGTACACAAGTACCCTTGCCATAGCCGATTGCATCCAAACCAAGAGCACGAAGTCTTCGAAGTATCCAAAGTCCCTGATTCAAACCTCCAACTCACTGGGCTGGCATCAGGGCGCTTGACGCATTTCCTAAGCAATTTTATTCATGAACGTTTTGGTCAAATCGCCAATCAATCTGAGATAGAGGTATCAAAGGATTCCGTGATTTCTCCGGCACTGAACAAGGCAGATCTTGTTCCAAATCTCCCTTTCAGCTTGGTAACACGAATCTTTGCAATCTTATTCGGGGTTTCAGCCGCTGTTTTAGGGGCTTGGTATTTTTATTAACTTAAATTTGTTTCACTCGCCTAATCTAGCTCGATTTTTGCAACATATATCACTCGACAATACATGTTTTCGGATAGTGCTGTATTATGTAGAGCTAATTTCTTTTGTAGTTGCAGCTAAATAATTTTGGAGTCCCTAATGTCAAGAACGTACGACACATCATATGTGCGGCTACAAAACCGAGAATGCCGTTGGAAAAGCGGAACCTCGATGGCTTACTCAATCAAAGCACATAGCGATCAAGAGATAATAGAAAGAATGCAAGATTTATCTAGGTCCGGTGATTTGAAACAGCGAGACCGGGATGTAGCCTGCAGGAATCTATAATAACTCTTTATCACTTCCGAATCCATTCTCTTAACAATATAGCAATCGAGGATCGCCATAAAAGTATTCCTGTATTTTCTTAAGTTGGAGAAAGCGGTGGTATCTGTGAAGGTAGAATCCAATGCGAATTCAACTTCTTGTCGGGATAACTATATTAGATCTCTTCTACACGTAGGCCTGCATGCCGAAAATGGCCACTGGCACTTTCTTCTTTTCTTCCAACCATTTTGATACACCATTCGAGGAAAGTATCAAATCCTTGACGGAGGTCTACATCATAGCAGCCCCAGCTACGTTTAATAAAGCCTTTTAGCTCAGCAAATAATTCTTCAATAGGGTTTAGGTCTGGCAAGAAGAGTGGCAGATAAACCAACTTTACTCCCGCGTCGGCACACATCTGTACAAGTTTCTCAGAATGGTGAAACGACGCGTTGTCCATGACCAAAGCAGATTTAGGTTCGGGCTATCTTCTGCAGTGCTGAAGAAGCTCAGCAATGAAGTCCTCAAATATAGTAGCATTAGTTGAGCCGCGAAACACACGACAGAGCAAAATTCCATCTTGGGCATACGCAGGCAGCATCTGGTATCGTTGGTCGCGGTGAAACTGGGACACTTGTACGGGAGCCTTTCCAATCGGTGACCAGCCTGTCCGTCTGAACCAGGCCCGTTTGTCACAGCCTGATTCATCGACGTATACTAGATGATATGACTGAAAGTCGGAGAGGTTGTGCAAATAATATTCTCGTAATTCAACACTTTGCTCTCGAGCTATCTGTCGAGCTTTTTTTTTAGACCAACCGTTAAAGACCAGAGCCCTTCGGATGGTGGAGGTCGTCGCTAGCGTTTGGAATTCATCCCGGAAGAAAACGGCCATCTCATCTAGATAAAGACCAGGTTTTTCGAGCAAGTGATCGCACAGGGCTTCTCATATTGAGGGCGTTAAAGTCGGTCTCCGGCCGATCCTATTGGGGGGAGCATGGACGTTTCCAAATTGCCGCAAGTCTTTGCGAATATTTTTGATTGTTCGCTCGCTGCATCCAGCTTCTTCGGCCATCTGAGATGTGGTAAGCATTTGGCTTTCTATCATATCACGAATGAATTGGAGCTTTGAAGGGGGTAACCTTAGGGCCATGATGCATGAACCGTATCAGGCGACGTCCATGACAATGAGTGAAGGCCAACGAACTGGGTCAGTCAGTAGGAGAGAGGGGTAAGGAGGTTCTGAGTTGCCTGTAATATACAGTATCTTATGCCATTTTTTCGTTCGGTAATGACAAACATCTATTTTTGGCAAAGAAAGATCTGCAGCTAATCCAAATGTAGATTAGGATGTTTCATAGGAAGGTTCGGGAAACAATCCGTGAGTCTACCAAGGGGAGTCTGTTTTCGAACATGACAGTATCATATTGTAATTTATCGCTTTTACTATGTGTTCTGGGCTGCGCAGCTCGGTGGTGTGTGTAGCTTGATGGTATATGTAGCTTAGTAGTGAATTATGTTACAGTATTATTCGAAATCAGCTATACCTTCAGACTCTTACTACTTGATTCCCGGAAAATAAATCCGACAGTCGTGAGTTCTGATAGGATAGGCTGTGAAGGTTCCACTTTTTAGACCGCTTTCTACATTGGTAAATGTATCTTACATTACAGTACTATGACACGACTGGGTGTATTTTACGCGAAAGTGCTATACGCATGCTACCTGCTGTGCCCCTCAATCCATGGCGCAGGCTGATTCCATCTGCCACCACCTGTCTGTCTGCGAGATTTCAGTATCCGAGATCAAGCCAAACGACATGGCTCCTAGGCTCCCTCCTTCAAAGCTTCATCTGATCCGTGATATGATAGAATGCCAGTCCTTTACCACGTCTCAGATGGCCGAAGAAGCTGAATGTACCAAAGTCACGATCATTAATATTCGCAGAAACTTACGCCAATTTGGAACTATATATGCCCCGCAAACCCGAATCGGCCGAAAACGAACTATGACACCGCTGATGATAAACGCTCTTTGCGACCACCTTTCTGAGAAGCCTGGTCTCTACCTCGACGAGATGGCTGTCTTCCTGTGGGATGAGTTTCAAGCCATGATTACAACCTCAAGTATTAGGAGAGCCCTGGTAGCGACAGGTTGGTCCAAAAAGGCAACGCGGCAACGAGCTAAAGAGCAAAACGCAGACTTGAGAGACTACTACCTACACAATTTATCGGAATTTCAGTCGTATCACCTGATATATGTTGATGAATCGGGATGTGATAAACGGGTCGGATTCAGGCGCACCGGTTGGGCACCTCTTGGCAAAGCTCCTCTGCAAGTAACACAGTTCCACCGTGACCAGCGATATCAAATACTACCTGCGTATACTCAAGATGGAATCCTCCTCTCGCGTGTATTCCGCGGCTCTACAGATGCTACTGTGTTCGAGGGCTTTATAGCACAGCTTCTCCAGCATTGCGGAAGGTGGCCAGAGCCTAAATCTGTCCTCGTGATGGATAATGCATCGTTCCACCACTCAGAGCGACTTCTACAAATGTGTGAGGAAGCCGGGGTGAAATTGGTTTACCTGCCGCCTTATTCGCCGGACCTGAATCCGATTGAAGAGTTCTTTGCTGAACCTAAAGTTTTTATCAGGCGTAATTGGAACTACTATGAAAGAGACCCTAGTCAAGGATTTGATGTTTTCTTGGAACGGTGCATCAATGTGGTTGGCGCAAAAGAACAAAGTGCCCGAGGTCATTTTCGTCATGCAGGCTTAAAAGTCGAAAATATTGGGGCTTAAACACCAGGCATATTGTGCTCGATATGCGTCACAAGTGGAAGACAATGAACGCCTTACAGTAACAATCAAAATCGGATTTTCCTCTGTGCTGTCCTGGAGTCCCCGGGCGCCCAACTTGAAAGCACAAATTGGGCTATTTTGCCCACTTGGCTCACAATAACCAAAGGTTGACGGTTGACCATATAATAATTGCAATTCGGGAGAGTAAAATTTAAATAAAATGTTTTTTTCTACTACTTTATTGACCTATACAGCTGTTATTCTGTGAATGGAGACCAAAAGTAGAAACTAAACTAGCATGGGTGAAACCTTCAGATTGGTATTGATCCTGGCCTGAAAATTGAGAAACAGGTTGCTGGATTAAATAGTCCAGTTGGTTTCTTCGGCTGCAAGCATCCCTAGATACCAAATGCCCAGTAGCACAGTGAGCTGACCATGGCCTCCAGCTGTCCAGGGGATTGACATAGAGACGGCTAGACTGCCGTTTGTATCGAGACGTTTGACCCCGATCAGCTCAGTGTTGGTAAGCACAAAGCCATGGCGCGCTTTATGTTGGCCCATATAGAAATTCACCTGTGAAAGAACCTGCTTGTATTGTTCTTGAAAGAACGGGTTTTGCGAATGGCGGTAGTCAGAACGCCATTTCCACGAGACCTTCATATCTCCTGGGGCCCGGTTCGTGCCGTCCGCGTAGGTGCCCCCAAGAGTGACGAAGGCAGTGTCTGGTCGAAACTGGTCGACATACGCTGCTGAGCCTCCACCGTCAAAAGTGATCGGCACAAGGCTTAGTTGCTGAAGCCGGGGTGCGAGCTCCTCGAACCCGGCGCGCAGTGCGCGCCTAACACGAGGTTGAAGCAGCTCGGCAAATCGAAGATGAAAATGAGGTTCATCCCTAATGGCGGCAGGAGGGGACCTGAAGGGATCGGATGCGATCTGCTTTGAATTCAAAACGCTACCGTATCGTTGAATGATCGTTACATAATTGAACTCTGGCCAATCGATGACCTGGCTGATATCTTCCGCGCCATAGCGGGGGTTCGTTGTATTCCGCGATGGGGCAGTACCTTGAATAGGAATTGCCGGAAGGGAAATCGAGAGATACTCTAAAAGAGATTGGGTATTCATATTACAGTACAATAGTAGAGTACCACAAATGACTTAGGAGTAACGGCACTAGGTGGTGGATACCTAATGATAGCTGATTGTCGAGATAGGCAAGAAGAATCAGGATAGCGAAATAAAATGAAGGATTTGGGAGGAAAGCAATTGGAAAATATAGGGAGAATGTTCGATCCAAGATTACATATATATCTGATAGGGAATCAATGGCGATATTTTTGGATATAGTTGATTGGTGTGACTATACAACAAACAGTAAGCGCTCTCACTTGAAGTGCATCCTTTGGTATGAGCAGAATGAAAGAAAGCGGTTAGTGAAACCCCGAGCGAGCCTTGAATTTAGCAATGTGTTGGATCTAGTGGCTCAAAAAGTCTTGAAAAAAGCGTTCATTGAAACTCTAAATCAGGACCAAAGCGCCTTCTCGTTTCAGCCTCAGAGGGCGCTTACATGCAGCAACTGAAGCTGGCCCACTCTGAGATTTCCTCCTTCCAGCGGCAACGGAGTGGATTTGATTCGCGGGATCTGGGCTTTGGGATCCACATGACCCAATGTTAATCTTACATAATCCGGCTATTATTAACCAAGACCTGTCCACTTTTTGTTGCCTGACCTGCTTCAACCTCTTTGGAAATGTAACTTTCCGACTGGACAACAATGCATTTAAGAAGTGCTTCTTTAACGGACATGGATCCCTCCAAAATTAATATTACTAGGGAGATTACGCGCTCTGATGCGTCTTCAATATTCGAGGTAGATGTGGATGGACAAAAGTATGCTTTGAAGCTTTTCCACGACAACGGCGACCCTGGGTATACCGAAAAAGGTCGTGATTTGAACCGATTTCGCTGCGAACTCAATGCATATAAGAAGCTCTTCGCCTCTGGTGTTTGTGCCCGCGGTTTCGTTCCAAAATTCTACGGCTACATCAATCGAATGGACCCCGCAGCATTCCATCCTGCTTTTCAAAATTTCTCTCTAGACAAGCTCAAGCCGAGAGCAATATTGCTAGAGTACCTCCCAAATGCAGAGAGTTTAAACTGCATTAACTACTCGGATGCGCTCTATCCTCAGGCAATTGAGGGCATGAAGGAGATCCACAGGGCGGGCGTTCACCACAAAGACATCTACCCGAGAAATCTTCTCCTTGTTCGTGGAGACCCTGATAGGCTGGTCTGGATTGACTTTGATGTTGCAACGACCTTCACCGACTTTGGACCTGAACAGCTGGCCCGCTGTGACTACGAAATTGCGCTTGTGAAGGGATTTGGAGAAGCACTGGTAAGGACTCCGCTGCTCTATGTTGGAAGAATTTAGCGTGCTGACTGACGAATGCAGAGAGATGACCAGGCTGAGGGACTTCCGCCTAATACAAAGTTCTATTAAGGGTTCTATAGGCTTGCGAATATTCCGACAATGTTTGATCGCGCTCATATATATGTTCTTGTATTAGATGAATTGGGTAGAGCTCTGAGTAAGGGCTGTTTTCATTCGGCTTACTTTATTTTACTTCCTTTTCTAAAATCTGGGGTTATGTACCGTACAGAAGAATGTAGACCTTTAGAAACCCAAAGGTGTCAAGACCTGCGGCGAGACATGTCCATCGTAGATCAGAATTCTATCATGATCGTCTATCATGTAATCGAAGAAAAAGCAGCCGCCAGGGGCGCACCGATATGTATTTAAACAGGACAAACAGCCTTTCAATATCACTGGAGATCAATGAGTAACCTAATAGCGGGGTAGATTGACTACAATAAAACAGTAATCAGGTACATTCTTACTCAATGCTGACCCATATTTTCAAAGGTAGCCGTCTACAAAAGTAACTATGGCTCTAAAGTTCGAAGATATGCCCTTTCTGAGCTACAAGTAATGGCCCTTATTACACAAGGCTCACTACTTATCACGTCCAAAATGATGAACAGAGCTTAATATTAACTGAATCATACAAATCAGAAGCAATGGCGACTAAAGGCTACTCAACATCCGCGCCTTCGAACTCGCGTCTGTGAAAACCAAGTGAAAAGAAGACTTTTGGGGTACCAGAATTCCCTCTTGACCGAGGAACATTGGAAATTCTGTTTAGGGATTAGAAAGTTCGTCAAATTGCAACCCTTCGATGGAATGGTTGAAATTCGCGAACAGTGTTTTGAAGCTTGAGTAAGGACAATCATGGCGTAAAGCGTGGCCACGCTTCGGAAAGGAGGCGGATGATTCATACCACCGTGGGGATCTGAATGATAATACCTCCTGTACGAGGTTCCTGTAGCTGATGCCCGGGAAAGGCGACACAGGTGTCGGTGAAAGAAGATGCCTTGACCGAATTTGTAGAGTAAGAGCCCCATACATGATTGATTTGCATTCAAATCCACAACCTTGATCTCCGCTCAGAAAATCCTCACATTTTTGATGAATATGGAGCATGACATTCTCGATAGCCTCTCGTCGAGTTTTTTCCATTGATGCTGTTATTTAATTAGGCCCCATTCCCAAATTCTAGCATCGTATCTTACCAATGACTTGGTTGGGGATCGGAAGCCCCCTAACATCAATAAAACCTTCAGTGCATGACATAGCAGTCGATGATGCTTCTTTAAACTGTGTAGGATTTTTGAAAAACCAAGAAACCCATAGCCAGAGTACTAGGTCTCGTGGAGATTCCGTAATGTTTTTATTCAGAGAACTGAACCATATATCAGTGATTATGCAAAGAACATCTTTGCAATCGTAGTAGTCGGCTATAGCGGCGATTTTGGCAAGCATCTCCAAGGTCACCTTCTTCGGTATTAGACTGTATTGACCATGTATGGCACGAATAATGATAAGGAGCGCTTCGAAATCCCAGCCCTCTGCGGTAACCTCAGCTAAGCCCTTCTGTTGATAGGTTTCACGTTCTTTCCAAGCGCCGGTCAGGCATTTCTTGAAAAACGAAGAGGCAAACATCATATGCTTTGCTGAAACTCGTATGCGAAATTCACTTTTATTCATCCGCTCACACGGTTGCATTTCCACAATATAGTCCCCGGGAGCATCGTCTTCGGGAAGAGCCTCTGCTGGGAGAGCTTCTTCAGGAGAAGCATCTTCGGGAGCATCTTCGGGAGCATCTTCGGGAGCATCTTCGGGAGGAGCGTCTTCGGGAGGAGCGTCTTCGGGAACATCGTTTTCAGGAGGGTGAGCAAAAGGAGAGTTTGCGTTATGCAATACGATTATCACTTCACCATCTGGATCTATGATATGCGTCGAGTGATCCATAGTTGATCTTAAAGGACTTCGTGTAGTTGCAGATAAAGGGCGATAAGTCAAATTGAGAAGGGAGAGAAGGGATAACACTATTAGTCACTGATACTGTAACGAAACTTTGAAATCGTATTTATTCTCAGTAGGATCTGTATGAGTATGTTTCTAGGGGATTCACAGGATAATCAATAATCCGTATTATTTCCTAGTATAGACTAGCTGGTTTATGTAATAAGATTTAAGAAACAATTTAAGAGGGAGAGTGGTGGCACCAGTTTCGGGATGCCCTATACAGATGATAGCCACTGCTTTTCTTGTTGTAAAATGAACATGGGCTGCTTTTTGGCACGGCGGCCATAATAAAGGCAATGAGGGGGCTTCGAAGTGCAGGATGATTCGTTCGAGGATTGGCAAATGCCCAGACCGTTCATTCCTAAGAGAGATAGTCTGGTCAATGACGCTGAGTTGTTAGACGAGGGAATTTGTGCTACAGTATTAGGGGACACCGGAGTCATCAAAATAGATGGAAAACTGATGGCGGGGGAAAAGTGTGGGCCTCAGCAAAAAGTAACGGGATGAGCGTCTATCATGCCGCACAGCAATTGGCTGGACATGTATGAGGGTGGGCCCCTATGAATCATATAAGTGAGGGTTGGTAGAGCAGTGAGGGATCACAGCCAGATGACCAATTTGCTAGGCGCGAAATCCCATTGCGCCACTCATTTTTTTACCACATTCATCAAAAATTGGCCTTGCGGAGCCCATTCTTGCCCTAGCATCCGAAACGCAGTGACATAAGTTCAGTTCACATTACAATGAGGGGTCAGGCATTCTTCAAAAAAGCTATATATATCTCGCTTGTAGCCCTCTCTTATTTTCGACAAATCATGTAGTCCATGAGAAAGATGACACATTGTAAGTTCTTGTTTCAAAAAACACACACAATATATAATTCTAACGCCTTGATGCCCTAAGGCGAAATTGTTTAGAAATGATTTTCAAGGACAGGTATGACTTTCTTCACGCTACCAACCCACTTCCCAATATCCTCTACGAACCGTCGAGCGATGCCTATTTTGATTCCTTTCTCAATGAAGAAATGAGGATCTTGATCTCTGTAAACCTGGTCAAGATCAAGACCGTTTTCGAGCATCACATCACACACCTCTCGAAATGCAGATTTGAGGGAATCGTTCTCAACATTCGAGACCTGCCACTCACTGTATTCCTTGACAGCTACATCTCTGAGACCCGGAATTTCGAGTGGACTTAGAGTCTGCGAATTGTCTGCTGCCTTCGGAGCCGAGACATCAAGCCCATGGGGCACAGACTGCGAGGACGAAACATTGATGTTGATAGGTGGATATGCTGGCCCCGCCCCGGTGAGATGACCTCCCTTGTGCTTGTCTCTGCCCAGTCTATCTTGTTCTTCCCGGTATAATTCGTCACGAACCGCTTCTGGCACGTCCTTGTGACCTTCTAGAACGCCGCCCCTCTCAACGTGGGTTATTAGGCGTTTGATGTGATGAGATTTCAGTGGGTAGTGGTTTTTCCCCATTGGGTCCACCCAGCAATGGGGCCCATGCTGACATGTCGACGAGTCACATCGCATTAGACTGTAGACGCTGCGCCAAATTGGCTTCCCGCCAGAAGTACTTTCCTCTGCGTCAAGCTGTGCTTCCCTCTCACCGAGCATTCTTTGCGTGACAGATGACTTCCCTCTTTTCTCTCCTTTCCGGCCAGCGGATGGAGAGGAATGACGATTGTCTACATAGTTGAAACTGATTTTCAACGTCAGTTCTTTGCCACGGAGTAGAAGCTCTGACCATAGTAGAAGCTGCTTTTCGATGGCGGTCCAGGATATATCGGTATCGTCGAATCGTTTGGTCAGACCTCTCTTGGTACGATCGGTTGTTGATACGACGATGACGGTATCATCTGATCTCACTTGGCGATGGCGAGCAGTCTTGCGTCGTAAAGCCTTCTCTAACTTTTTCTCTAATGACAGCTGCCAGAAGGCGCTAGGTGCTAAAACGACATCTTCCTCCGTGTCCTTTGACACCTCCCGGTTATTGACTGTCACTCGCCACTCTATACGGTAGTGGATGCATGTCGGTGGGTCCTCGTCGTAGGCTTTCCCGTCTTCCCAGTCACACAGCCGGAGGAATTTGAGAGCGCGTGGGGCGCATTTAATCGTAGGTTCGATACTTTTCTCAACTACGCTCGATGGGGAGGGGCTCCGGGTCGATATCGCGGCGTAGGGGCTACCACAATTGCCAGGTGTTGGGGCGTAATCCGAGTTGTGTTCCCATGGTTCGTGCCCATTAGACTGAGACGCATCATCGAGGCGATATTGGCTCATCTCTCGCAATGATCACAATCCTTGTAAAGCCCACATTAGCTGGGAGTACCAGGTTAGGTTTGGGGCTGGTAACGAATGAGAAGCGTAGTAGAAAGCAGAAATCCATGAAGATAGACAAAGCATCTTTCCCTACCAGGTTTAGCTTTCTACAAGATAAGCGCAGCCTTCTGACCTATGACTGGTGAGCGAAGACGACGGTTCCGCTGCATGCGGGGAGAATGAGAGGAAGAGGCAAAACGTGGCTGACGGGAGAGAGGAGAGCTTAGCAGGCGATCTTGCCAGATCGCCAGATCTACAAAACCAATTTTGGACGGTTCCATGTAATATTACTGTACTATAACGATGACTCATTGATGACAGTGTAAATAATACGAAGACTGTACTGCCGGAAGTATCAGGCGGTGACCCAAAGGGAGCTAGCGTCCTGCGGAATTATCTTCCGGCAATCAAGTAGTAAGAGTATGGTGGTATAGCTGATTTCGAAAACTACTGTATAGAGTTCCTAAATGTGCTATTTTTATGAAATGGATCTAAAGAATATGTCAACTTCCTATAATGGATCATTGTCCTTTGGCTTTGGTCTGTTGAAATCATATAATGTATTTCTTAAGCGGCCTGGCTATACAGCATGAAACGCATCAATCAATTAAATCCCTTCCCTTCCCTCCCTCCTTCTTCTACCATCTATCATGCCACCAATTTGTATTTAATATACCTTACACAACAAACCACTATTTCCTAGATTCATTGCCAAAACCTTAGTATAAGACAGTAAGCTTTGGAAGAAGAAGGTCTATTCAACAAAAAGAACTAAGATGAAGAAGAAGACTATGGAGAGAGCTGCTCTTATAGTACAGAGAGAGTATGCAAATCATGCAAACATGCAAATGCATAGAAAGCAAACCTGCTGATGGTAGCAAACCATCACAGTCGAGTATATGCCGCCTTACTAGACCTTAATCCCATCGAGGAATTTTTCAAAAAAAGGAAATCCGGGAACTAGCTAATCAAGGCCGCCGGGCCACCACCTAGCACTCTTCCGCTTGTACCATAAATTCGCGGGCGTCGTTTGTGCTGATGATGAGTCTCGATGTTGTCCTACTACACACTCCAGTTCTTGTACTTCTTCCATGGTGTGCTTGTTGTGAGAATTGGGGGGTTGGGTGCCTGGGGGGGTGAGGCATCAACACCGGAACCCAACCCTCCCAAGTTCTCTTAGTAGTTCCCTTTCTCTCCCTTTCTCTTTCTCTTCTTCAGCTTTAGTCTCTTTAGTTGAATGGACCTTCCTTCGAAGCCCGCCGCCTCACACAGCGTCTACAATATGATGCGATGCGCATCCTCGACTTACCCACCAGGCCCATATTGTTGGGTGGATCCAATGGGAAAAAAGGATTACCAACTGAAGACTCATCATCTCAAGCGGCTCGTTACCCACGTCGAAAAAGGTGGGGTGTTAGACGGGCACAAGGATGTGCCAGAAACAGTATGCGAAGAATTATATATGGAAGAGCAACAAAGACAGGGAAAGAACAATCGCAAAGGAGGACATGTGACAGGAAATGGAGCACCATACCCTGCTATCAACATCAATTTCCTGCCCTCGCAGTCTTCTGCCTCTGCGGCTGCACAGGTTTCTGCTGACTTCCAGTCCATGCAATCCCCAGGCCCGCTTGAGATCCCTGGACCTAGGGATGAAGCGGTCAAGGAATATGGTAAATGGCAGGTGTCAAATGTTACTGATGACACTCTCAAGGCTGCATTTCGAGAGATCTGTGACATGATGATCGACAATGGTCTTGATCTTGAGCAGGTCTACAAGGATCAAGACCCGGAATTCTTTATCAAAAAGGGCATAAAGATAGGTATTGCTCGACGGTTCGTAGAAGACATTCGGCGCTGGGTCGGGAATGTGAAGAGAGCAATCCCTATATATGACATAATTTAGCAACTACCTGCTTTGGCGTTGGAGCACATGGCGTTTAGGAGGTTTAATTTAGCATAGCGCTGTTGACCGCAGGTTCAATTAACATACTACTGGTTTCACGAGTGTTGATTTGTGTAGTTGGAAGTGTTGTTTAGAGGTTACAGTAATACATACTATAATTTAAGCCAGGAAAAAAATAGCCGAATTCGTTGAACTTTTTACCCATCATTTCCACGTGCCATTACTACAGCGTTTTTGACAGACTTGAGCCGGATCTCCACCAGAGGTGGGGCTGGTATGCTCGGTTCCTGGGCAAGCTTCCGTACATTTTCCTGGTGTACCTCGCTGGTAGCGCGCCGTCCACCTTCCGTAGGTGCGCGCCTTTGGTGCTTGACTTCCACTCCTGCTCCCACTGAGCATAGGTCTTGCTGCGGAGAAAAGTGTTCTCTCTCGTCAGCAGCGGCCGGGAAGGATGGGTTTCGGCTTCTTTGGCGATCCGATCCGCGGCCTCGTTCCCGGCAATTTCACAGTGTCCTGGCATCCACTGGAGACGGAGGGAAATATGCCCTGCGTGAACCTCGGTGGCTGCTTGGAGGATTGCATGGATAATTCGTTTCCCTGATCTATTTCTCACACTCTGGATTGCTTGTAAAGAGGATCTGCTGTCGCAGAGGATTGTTGCTGCTTGCCTTTGATTTGCAAGGATTGCGCGTTGGTGAGCCAGTTTGAATATCATGCTCATCGCGTAGAAGATCCCCATTAGTTCCGCTACATGAACCGACCACCGCTCCATCGACCCCACTTGCACCTGTTGCGATTCCGTTACCTCGTCACTTGTCGTTGAGGGTGACGATGGCGGCTCCTAAAGGACCTTCGCTCACGGAGGCGTCTGAATAGACGACGATGTCTGACGTGTCCTTTGTGGACACTGCCCTTTCTCTCGCTGCCTCTCGGTCGGGTTCAAGCTCAATCTCTGTGAAGGCGTCCTTTCGCCACGGTGGTAGCGGGCGTGGGTCAATCATTTCCGGTTCGTTGAGGCTGTCAACGTCCATGGTCTTCAGCACTTCTGCTAATGGGAAGCGAGCGTACGATCCGACATTGTTTTACGGTTCTGGGCTCTTGACAGAGCACTCCAAATGGGATGGTCGCGTGGTAGAGTGTGCAGTCACGCAATCGTGCGCTGCGCTCGGTGGCGAAGTCGAAGGTGTGTGGGAGGTATATAGGCTTCAACCTCTAGGGTCGCGGTTGCTACCGTCCTGAACGCCGACAGGATTCTGATCAGCACGTTTCTCTGAACTGTGTTCAAGTGTCGGATGTGAACTTTGTCCCTGAGTGGGTCATGCCAGACCGTCGATGCGTAGTCCACTATAGGCGCGACACATGCCTGGTAGAGCTGTCGCATCTGCTCAGGGTGCAAGTGCCGTAGTCTACTCAAGGCAATTGCCGTTTTGGTGGCGCACTTGATGACCTGCTGGACATGCTCCTCCAGCGAAGTCGCTGGTCGAACACCATCCCCGGTAACTTGGCTGTAGGCGATGGCTTGACGTCGGTCCCATCGAAGATGATTTGTCCTTCTCTATGCTCTCCCTTCTTTCGGGTGAGGTGGATGAGCTCGGCCTTTTCCGTTGCGAAGCAGGATCCAGTTCGCCGCGCCCACTCTTCGATACGAGGGACATCCTCGGACTGTATCTTGATCAAATTTTCCTGAGTTGAACACCCCACTCTCCATCGGAAACAGTCGTCAACGAATACCGACGCACCTCCCTGGTAGTCGACGGGCTGGTCGACTAGGTCGGTGTTGAAGAATGCAAACAAGATGGGGGAAAGTGGTGATCCTTGAGCTAGCCCAGCGTTCACCAGCGGAGCAGTCTCAGTGCGGAAGTCGTCAAACCCAATGTTGGCGTGCCGGTCGCTCATGAAGCTTGCAATCCATTTTCTGGCCACAATCGGGATCCGTCTTGCCTGCAGTGATGTATCCAGGCTTGTCCTATTGACTTCATTGAAGGCAGTTTAAGGTCGAAGGCAATAGACCCAGTACAACTGAATTCCACTATACTGACGCTCATTGAACAGATCGTGGATGAACAAGCCAGACAGTGACTGTGAGAGATACTGGTATGATTCCCGCCAGATGCACTGCCATTCACACCAGCCGATTAAAGATGTATATGCGAAGATGCCTCCGCTATAGCAGCCGACTGAGTTGATCTACTGTACAGTCTCTGTTTATTTCTAAAGAATGCGCGAATTTTCACGTCGAGGTATGTGAATCTTAGCCTGAGCTTTCTCACTAATTCCGAAGACGATGCGATTTCAATAGAACCAAGGACAATTGACCACAATACGCGAGCGCAAGAGTCACAGCTCTTTACCGTATCTTCGTCCCTAGTCTTAGCCGCCAGAGCATGTGAGTCATGGATTATGTCGCCGATCTACAAGCTGATGAACGATAGTGAGCATTGACATTGCACCAGCAGTCCCCGAGGCTACATCACCCCCATTAGTGCTCTGCACAAAGCTACTGACTACACACTATTCATGGAAACATCGCATCAAACCACGCAGCAAAGAATCAGGTGAAGAAAGACCGGACTAACAACAGGTGTGGACATCCGATCGCGAGCTTCGCTGCGCAGAAGCTTGAGACGTCCACTCTTCCTGGTGATGTGAGTGATTTGTCGCTGATGCGCTATATCAGTTGTTTGCGATGTTGTGTGCTTCAAAACTTGAATACCATTTCTAAATCTTATGACAGAAGCAGCCATCGCCACTGTGAAACATACCTGTTGGGAGTCCTATCGCCGAATCGCGAATAAGACCATGGTGGCACTACGACGCGTGCCCATACGCGACTTGCGCTTCGACCTCACCGCCTACACACCACGAACAGCGGAGCGTACGAACCTTTCGCCGTCCCCGTCGCGAGGTCTTACCCCATCACCACTGTACATTTTTCTATTACAGGTGGCTCGTCATGCGTCTTTGGCTTTAAAATTGTGTGCGGTGCACCCAGTGCCGCTTATCCAAAGCGACAGCCAGAGAGTGCGACGAAATGGGTATAACATGAACATGTAAATCATAAACTCTCGTCCAAGTGGTAAGCCTTACTGACTCGGATCGTACAACAGCGCCCTCCATACTCACGTCACTCGAGTCGAATGCGAAGCGACCAATCTTGTCTGGTCGAGCACCTCTTCACCGATGCGATCGCAAGCTATCTGTCCCTTCCTCATGCCCGCTGGTGGCATAGACGAGAAGTGACTGGAAGGTTCACATCGTCTCGGTCCTTCTCTTAGTCGACAATATGCACCAGCCATGCGCCGATGTGTCTACCGATACAAAGACCAAGGCATAATGGGCCAAACCACCGTCCGTGTCGGTATTCGAACATCGTGAAAGATCAGCCTCCTTGTGGATCAAAATACTGGCGTCCCAACGGGTGATCCTCATTTTCCTCGGTTGGAATCTCGCGTTTTTTCAGTCCTGAAACTCTAAAGGACCTGAAAAATGCTGGTGGTTTTGTCTTGCTTGCTGGCAGGTAAGCCATACCCTTGCAGACGGCTAGATTGTTTGTCCAAGTCTGCGTGCAAGGAGAAGTTGAGGCAAATTTCCCGTCATTTTGAGCCTACGGAACAATAATGGTCATACCAGCTACGCACCAAGAGAGACCGCCGGGTTCCGAGTTACAGCCGAGCGAACTAAAAGATCCCCGACGACATTCGATGCAGAGAATATAGTCTGTAGAAGCTTGTCCTTGGCAACAAGGTCGGACATCTGGTGAGGATGCTTCAAAGTTTCTGTTCTATAATTCAAATTCCTAGCCCGCGATATTAGGTGCGGCTTTGCTACCTTCATAACGCCATAAAAATATCACATCAAGCTACCATGGGTCTTAAAGGCGGATCGCGAGTGATTTTTGCCAAAGCTTAGGACATTTATTCTAGTTAAACACCTTTGGGCGAATGGTGCGTGCGTAGATTCTGAGCAATGTGACTGGTTTCGCTAGATATATGAAAGGCAGTTCCTTATGTGGACCTTTCTTATCCATTATATGGGCTACTTAAAGGTCTAGGAGTACCTAATACAGTATAAATGATCAGCAATTTTCAGACCAGTGAATATGCTCCTTAACTCACATCACCACACACCATAATCCGTTTTGATGGGATCGTCGTTCAAGGAGTCGGGGTCAAAAGAACAGCGGCACAAGCAGCTTGGCAGCTTCCAAAAGCTGTATTGCAAGCTAGGACAGAGGCAGGGGCGCTGATCCCCGCAGTGGCCCCCCACGTGAAGCCTGCGGCAGCGTAACAAGCCGTGACAACTGTGGCACACCCGGCTTGACACACCCCATAAGCGGCCGGCCCTGCAAGAACTGCGGGGATAAATATTGGTATAAAACGCATCGAAAAGATGTAGCATTTATCTATGTTTATTCGAAAATGCTCTGTAGGTATGAAAGAAAGATGCTCTGTAACGGAGCAGGGAATGAGAGTTGTGTCTCAGCAGAAGCCGCCGTAAGTAATTCAACGGGGTAAATATACTGCCAAAAGGTGGGTTAGTAGATGGATGATAAAACTAGACTTACCGCGCTTTCCCAAGTTGAACCATCTTGAGTGACCGCAGAGCCACATTGCATGTGATGTATCGCATACAGTAAAATCGGCCATCTCCGGCAAGCAGTAAGAGCTTGCAACAGCCCAATAGGATAGGACATCTCGCATCTTGAAACGAATCAAGCACTTTGTGTCCCCATCTTGGCACTTGAGGCAAATCAGATTCAGAATCAGGTGCCAAGATGCTTTCATTTGATTGATTCGAAGATGTGCCAGGATCGCCATGGACAGCGCAACGTGCAGATCAAACCCAGGGCCTCAATTGGAACATTAATTGCGAGCCTGACCTGAAAGGTATCACCGTAAAATGTGACTAGGGCGAGCTGAACGCCTCAGCGTAAATGAGAACAGGGAAATAAGCGGAAGGCATTCACCCAGAACCGCGTAATGCTCTTTCAACTTCTTGATTCCACCCGAACATACGCCCCAAGAGAGAACAAATTATCCCAAGAAAGTCGAATCCATACCTTATCCAAGTTGAAACTTACCGAATTCCCGCAAGTGACCTATTTACTTATCCAGTTTTGTATTTTCGCATTCCATTGGCTTATTCTGACATCATCTATGCATTGAGAGTCGCGAGTAGAGTATGCCTTTGGCGACACTCATGCAGGTCACATTGCATGATTCATATCTACCAATCAACTCATCCTGTGGCAGTGATGCGTTGTTCCTTGGGGGTGGAGCTGCTGCTCTGAAGCGGGGTACGGCTTCTCCTACTCAGCGCAAGCCTTTGAACATAATATTCTATTTCCGGGACTTGCATTCAGAATGCCACGCAAGGGACGCAAAGCTGTGAAACTATGGTCACTCCACCCAGAGTTTGACGAGAAAGTGCTTTGACTAGATTTCATTGGCACTGGCGATGAAGAAGCAAATATCGAAGAACGAGACACGAACATCATGGGCCTTTTCATTTTTCACAACAGCAGATGTTACTCTAGCGGTTGGTCGAGCAAAAATATCGCGATTACGATTCGCATGTACCCTCAACAACGATACAATGCCCGAATGTATCACCAGCGATGCAAAAATTGCAAAGCGGTTGGTCAGCTAGTCTTGAATACCGAGTGCTATGCGGAAAGGGCGACATACTGGTTAACAAAATGGAATAGAATTGAGGTACAGCGGCCTGATTACTCTGGTCAGAGTAGAGGTCCACATGATAGCGAACTGTGTGAGGGATGTAGAGCTGGTCATTGTCCCAACTCAAATGAGGACTTAGCATTGGTGCTGGCTAGGTAAGTTTCCCTTCAGAACCAGTTGTACAGTGACTAATAACTTCGGATTATCTCTCTGAACATTGGCTCTCTCATTGTGAAGTCAAAACAATTACCACTGGGCTTTGAAGTAGCCCGACTGGATGGAGAAATAAGCAATCATATCACAGTCCTTGCTTCCGGGCCAAAATTCTCCCACAATATACAAGGCAAGTTTCCAGATCCAAATTGGTATACTAGCTTCTACTTTCTGCTGCTGTGTGTCTCTAAGCAAATTGCGAAATGATATCATCAATTGTCATCCGAAGCCAATATCTGGGATTTGAATATTTGTATTAGCCCTACACCTCCACCCTCGCTTTTTGCTTTCATTAGTGGTGTGTTCATTGCTGATTAACATATCCAGACAGCATATCTATTGATTATCACCGAGACTCTCGACACCCGGTTTCGTACGCTTCGATGTCGTTTACCCATCGTATTCCCCACCTCCGTCCATGGCCCTTTGGCCAGTTCGTTCGTCATCATCATCTTCCTCGAGTCCATGTCGGAACTGTTGGAGCAGACCTGTGTGGTTCATGAATCTGGCCACGGAGCGGGTGGCCTGCGGATGAGACACGATCTTATCGTAGTCGGTTTCCAATCCCTCGATTTCAGTGATCTTGTCCCACAATTGCTTGCGTAGCTGGGTGTAATGCGTGCATTGCATGGTTACATGGTGCGGCGTTGGTGAACCGGTGTCGCAACTACACCGGTCTGTGTCTGCGGCTAGGGCTTCTAAAGGAATGAAGGAATGCGAATATACGGCATATTCATATTCGCGCTCTGTGAAAATGAATGAATGAATCTTTATTCGCGCCAATAAACCTGTTATTCATATTCGCATTCATATCATTCTTATTCTGTTATTTATCCGCATTGACACTTTATCCGTTACAACAGTTTTCGTATTACCGAAATACGCTGAGGGGGTCAATTTCAGAATGCCCGCCTCATCGGCGATGTTGGTTGGACTGGAGCATTCCATTTGCAGATATATGTTTGAATCTAAGACCCGACTATATTAGTCTCGCAGACTTGATTTTCTACTTTTCTTCATTAGAGATATTAAATTCACCCACAACTATTTCGTCATGGAATTTTGAGGTTTAGTTGAAAAAAGCCCTTGAATATATGTTTGTCTATGACCTAGCTTCACATCACCTTGGCCGGTCAATTTTGAAATGTTCAGTAGCTTCTCCGATTCCATCGCGACCCAGTTCAAACTGCGTCAACGCAATATGTTTACCGAATGACACATAGAAACGCGTTTGGCTGATAGCCTCGAGCTTCCGATGACCCTAACTACATCTTGTTTACGCGTTATGTTATGAATGGTGCGCTGCAGAAGTAAGATAGAGATCTGTCCATTTTCCACGTCAACAAGGGTATATAAAGCGCAAATAAGACTGCGAGTGCTCACGTTTATCCAATTTTCAAGTTCTCCTTCTAGCATCGCCTGCTGATTCAAGTTGCCCAAGGTACGTGTTGCTTTCTGACGGTGGCCGTTTTCATACACTCATCCTGAAGATAATAGCATAATATCTACACCAAATCCCTTCCTGTTGAGGACGCGTGGTCCTCCACGCCGGGACCATAATGCTCAACACAATGGCCTGGTCTCATCACCTTCCGAGCAATACGAGTAATCTATTTGTGAAATAGGAAGGTCATACTCTCCAGAGCCCTCCACGTATATGAACACTGAGGAAATACCCAGATCTAAATGGTCTTACTGTATTCCCAGCTCTTCACCCTCCCCAATTGATCCTGCGTTGTCAGATAGTACGAGCAATGCGGGTAGCCCACACCCACATAAGAGTCGAAAAACCAAGTCATATTCTAGCTGGACCATTGAGCACTTCATGTATATCCCTGACAGCTAGGATAAGGTACAGACGCTTGATAAACTGTCTGAAAAATCGAGTTTGAATTCGGGTGTAGTATCAGGGAAAGAAAATAAAACATGTGTTTTCCTACCATAATCGAAACACAACATGGTTTCCATCTATTCCATTTCCCGCGCTCGAGATACGCCCGCAACGGCCGCGTGGTTTTGACCTCCAATAGGTGCTCCGCACTCTGGGCATCTAGCTTGCTCCATCGGCATACCACACTCTCCAATAGCAAACTAGGAAATATTGTTAGCTCAGTTGTCCCATAAAGGTAACTTGGGACAGTGGAAAGATTGAGACTAGGGAAATTTACTTACCGGATGTCTGTTGACGCAATTGTACCAGTGCCCAGAGTGAGTCGTTATTCCTCTTCGCCCACTGACCATGGCCGTCTTGATTGATTCCAATTCTTCCAAAGTCACTGTCTCATATCGCGGCCCTTCGTAGAGACGGGTCATTTCCTGGACCTGTTCTTGGAGCTCGGGGCAGCTCCCCAGTCCGTCGCATAGTTTTAACGCAGTGGTGAGGAGATCGCGGATGGTTTCAGTGCGATTTTCGAGCTTTCCAGGATTGGCGCTAGCTTCTTTGGGATTCAGATCCGATGTTGATTTTGCTGGATGAGTGCGGCGATACCACGCGTCCAGCTGGGCGATTTTCGCGAATGAGATGGTTGCCGTGATGACGATGCGGTAGAGACTTCGCTCATGCGCCTGAGCTATCAAGTCTCGGTAATTTTCCAACACTCGAGTCAACATTGGTGATACTTTGATAACACCTGGCCGTGCTTCTGGAGGATCTTTTCTTGACTCCGCAACTTTAAACAAATGGCTAATTGCAATTTCTTGGGATTTCATCTGAATAAGCCTTGCGCCGAGAGTAATTTGACTATCAGGTTCCTGGATTGATAGATTTGTTGCCTCCATTCTGGCTGATAGGGAGGCAATTTCGTCCTGTTCCAGTTTCTGGCTGGTGGTGATCGCATCCATGAGTCGTTTCATCGGCTGATTCTCGGCCTGCATGGTTTTGCTAAGTTTCAAGGCCTCTATTTCAAGTGCTTTGAGCTTTGCAGCGGCGTTCCCAGGGAGCAGAAACGCCCCCTTGGAGTTGAGCTTGTGCTCAATATCATTCAGACGCGATTCAAGGTTTGCGAGGTCTATGCGACCTTTGGCAAGGAACCGCTTGTAAGTCTCGTCCATGACAGCACGATTGACAACACGATTATAACGTTTCGTCACAAATTGGCGAATGGGCTGTTTACAGTCAGGGCACGAGGGTATGGCTGTGGCGAGAGAAGAAGAGAGATCGCGGAGGTCTTCGAACTTTCCATCTTTATCCCTTGTGTATACTTGATCTAGGCCAACCAATCCATCAACCGACTCACTTGTAAAGAAATGACCGCATCCAAGCACGATAATCGGAGTTTCATCGAGGTTGATTTCGGAATAGTCTTTCATTTCGATGAAGTCAACACGAGCATCACTCTTGTCGCCGCACTTTTGACACAGATTGTTTGGACAATCTTCCCCACAGAGGCTTGGACACTGGTGGCCGCATTCAAGATTTTTAGTGCATCGCTCATCGCAGGGAAGTCGATTGCATGGTGCCGCACAAGGCATTGAGCAGGAGCCTTGATGGGCGCAGGACCAGGTGCATTTCTCGATGCATGGTGCACATGCCTTTTCGCAAGTTGAGTCGCATGCTGAATGCGAGCATCGGACCTATGGCATGGTTAGTGTTTCTGTATAATGATGAGATAATGGGTGATTGTGAGTCTTACTTCGCACTTTGCCTCGCAGGAACCGCAGCTTTCCCCATCATGGCATTCTTTGGGACACCTATGGTTGCAAACACCATGCGGACGGTCACATATTTTTGTGCACTTCGGATGCTTGGTTATTCTTCTTCCGTCAACAACTTTCTGGAGACAATTTCCACAGTAATCACTGCAGTTGTGGCCACAGCTGAGGATATCGGTGCATGGCTCAGGGCAACGGAACATCGGGGACGTGACATCCTTAAAACAGCCAATCTTGATTTTATGGCCACACTTAGGAACGGTCTTTTCAACCTCAACATCGCAATTGATGAGCTCCAGGTTCAACATATGATGGCAATAGACGACCTTCTTGATATGACCACAAGGAAGCTCAACGTCCTGAATCTTCGTCAAACAAAGGCCACAATCTTCACCACAAAGCTTAGGGCATTCATGGTGACAGGTTGATCGGATACGTGGGCAAGGCTTTCCGCACGCAAAGCCGTCGTGCATGACCGTCGAATGGCACTTGGCCTGGCATTGATGGCCACATGGCTCAAGTCGTCGGTCGCACAGGAGACTGCACCCACCCTCTGGACTCTTCCTTTCAAAGTCGTGAGGCTCAGAGCATCGAATAGACGTATCTGGATGGCGAGGACAGCACAGAACCAGCTCCGTACCAACTGCATTCGCACGGGAGAGCTGAGAGTGGACATCGGCCCACATTTCCACATTGAGATAAGTTTCGGCATTTCCGATGAGGTACATGCCATGTTGAGCCCGGCTGAGGAGCACGTTAATGCGGTTCTCGGTGCGCAGAAAGCCAACCTTGCGCTTTTTGTTGCTGCGAACTAGGGAGACCACTATCACTTTTGCCTCCTCGCCTTGGAAATTGTCGACTGTGGCAAGGCGGAGCGTCTGAAGCAATGTCTTTTTCTCAAGTGCCTTGCGACTATTTGACTCTGGATCCTCATCTTCCACCTTCTCAAACCCATCTGCAGCCAAGGTTTCTAGGTCTCGCTCGCTGAGGCAAATCTCGAAATCTTTGCTAAGCGATGCCCTGAGCTTCCGCAACTGCCCGGTATATGGGGTTAAGAGGGCAATATCCGTGCTATTGTACTCTCCTTGCCGAACAAGATGCCGAACAAGAGCAGTAGCCATATCGACCTCCCACTGGTTGCTATGAGACTTGACACGGCTGCCGTCATCTCTCGAGTCTTCCTCGCATTGATGGTCCAGCCAGAAGAGGTTGTCCCTCATTCCAACAACATTGGGTAAAGCTGTGGTGCTTTCATGGTCCTCGAGTTTGGGATAGACTCTCCTGATAAGTTGCGAGATTTCGGGTCTCATTCTTCGCTGTACATTAAGCTGTGCAATAGGGGCAGGCTTGAGACCTGGCTCGCCGAGAGCGCGTCTCTCAAACTGGCTTCTGTCTAGCTGCCATGCCATTCCTGTGGATGATTCAAGACTGAGCGAATAATTTTGAATCTGGGGTCGCAGCTGTCGATGATCTCCAATCTGAATGAAGTGCTCAACACCTGGCATGAGGGCTGAGATGACGTGGGCTTCCATCACTTCTGCTGCTTCCTCGCATATAATGACCTTTGATCCTAAGCGGCGCAATGTCTTAATGTGGCGTGCAAGGGATGTTGTCGTGATTCCGATCACATCTGCTTGAATCAGGGCTCGGCGATTGACCTCATCATGGACTGCATTGATGTCGTTGCGAAGGCTCGCGGCGTGATCAATGGCTTCAAATATCCGGGCAATTTCGCTTTCCCGCCACTGTTTGAACCACTCTATTGCAAGAATCTGGCGTTCCGGCTTTGTGAGAGTATGAATATCTTCCTGGGCAGCACGTGTCAAGCGTTCCAAGCGCACAACATCAACTTCATCCTCGTTCTGAACTTTCTGGATTCTCTTCGATTTGACCCCAAGCCAATGAAGCAATTTGTCATCCGTGACAGTTGTGAAACCTTCCAGATCCGGTCGGTCAAGCTGCTCATGTATAGCAGGCCATTTTCTGCGCACGAAGTTTCCCATAGCGGCCCAAGATAGGCCCTTTTGAGACTGGTGTAGAGGTTTCATTGCATATCCAGCATCTTCAATGTGAGCTTCGAGTTCCCCGTAGGACTTGCCGAGGGTCTGCGACTCTACCTTCGTCTTCCCAAAGTCTTTACTGACAACGCGAAGGTTCTTGCCTTCAAGCTCGGGGGCTTGACTGCGGCCACCAATGCGTATCACTTTCTGGATGCCTACACCAAGAAGGTGCTTTAAGAATTGGTCCAAGGCATGGTTGGTATAACACCTATGGTTCCCGTAAGTACGAATACCGGAAGGCATGAACTCACTACTCACATCACAATGATCGGCTTAAGGTTTGCATTTTTCTTAATTTCAAGCAGAGTTTGGACAACCTTAACGCCTAAATAGGACTTTCCGGTGCCTGGTGGGCCTTGGATTAGGGCATACTCTCGTGTGAGAGCTGCGATAAGTCCCTGACACTGGCCATAATCTAGACCAGTCTGAGCTTGCAGCTTCAAGGTGTCAACAGACTCAGGGGTGCTTGGATCCAATGCAACGCTGTCAGCGGTAGGGGTTGAGATCGAAGTCAGGGGAAAGATAAACCCTGATTTACGCGCATATGCTGGTGGGGGGACATTGTGTCGATCTTCATCACTCTTGGAGTCTGGCAAGACCCACTTTCGGAATGCCAAATCCCCTTCGCGTTGGATTTGTTGCAGGTTTTCCAGGATAGGGACGAACGTGGCAGGGATCAGGCCATGGAATTCAACCAGAATGCCAGTGAGTCTCTCACTGTAAAGCTGGCCCAGGAACATTAATTCATGTTGTAAACAAGCCGCAAGTTTGACCGTAATACTAGGTGAATGTCTGTCAGACACAAGACTGCTCTTGTTCTGGTGCGCTTGGTTTTTGGAAGCATTCTTCACGGTCACTTCGAGGAAGATAAGCTTTCTATGAGTTCCTTGGGACGTCAAAAAGCAGATGAGGCTTCCCTCATCAAGTCGACTAGAGTCTTCCCACCATTTGGATTGCTCTTTGGAGGCCCTTTTGCGGAGCTGTGGTGGAATAGAAAAGGATACAATTGCTTCAAGCTCATTCCTACCATTGATAAATATGTGCTGAACCTGTGCCCCCGGGTAGAGATGTGCCGCGCTGTCCTTGCATGATGGATAAGGACTTTGTGTTAAATCAGTCTGCTGCTGCAGACCCCTCAGAACATCTTTCGCTGAGCCAAAGATATCGTGGCGTAGCAGTCGGAACATTGAATCAATATATCTTTGCAAAGGGTCGGCGAGAAAGTGCGGTTGTAGGAAATTGGTAGAGGGTAGGTATTCTGGATTGATGTTGACAATCTCCCCAAGAGTAGGTAGAATCAGAATTTCGGATATATCTGCCAGGTCGTTGTCGTGTCTTCCGCCAGGTGTTTGCACATCCATTGGAAAAGACGACAGAACTGGCCGAGTCCTCTGGGGATCTCCCTCGTGCACCCTGGGCGTAACAAGGTTGCGGCTTGCGCTAGTTACCAGGCTCTGCATGACTTCTATTCTGCTCTGAAGTCCATCGAGGTCGGCTTTCGAGCATTCTTCCGTTATTTTAGAGGCCAGTTCGCGGGATAGGTTGAGTAGTACGGGAAGTTCATCGTGAAATCGAGCGCGTCGGACCCTTGACAAGAGCTGGTAAAGGGCATTTAACAGCAATTTCACCGTGTCTAGTGAAATAGCCGAGGCAGATTCGCTGGTTTCTTCACCTATACCCATGAGGCTCTGGCAGACATCACTCAGATATCTGATCGCTCGATCTCCATTCGTGCCACCGAAGGATGTGTACAG